AACCCACAAGAATCTAAAACAACGTATATTTGTAAGTGGAGGAAATAATAATAATAAAATAATGAAAATACCATGGCGAACTATCCACCATTCAGCCAGGGCCATTCTATTCTATTCTATTTTAGCATAATTGAAACACAGCCCAACTGGGCTTCCCTTGTTTCCATTCTGATTTCTTTATAAATCACCAGTGCATCGCCTCTCTCTGCTCTCGTCTCGTGTCCCCGTCCGTCTTCCCTCCATTTCCCACGCACAACCGGCAGCGCCAAGAACCTCTCATCGAGCTCTGCTCATGCCGAGTGACCATCCGGAGCCGCCGTCGCTGGCGCCGCTCGAGCTCCAAGCCGACCCGGCGCCGCCGCTGGCCAAGGGCGGGGGCAAGATGCACAGGCTGCTCAGGTCGGCCTTCAAGCTCGGGGACTCCGCCTCGTCGAGTAGCGGGGACGAGGCGGACCAGCTGAGCCGGTCGTCGTCTTCGGCTGCGAGCAGCGGCCGCACGCCGTCTGGCGGGCGGGCCGGCCGGCGTGGCGGCAACGGTGACCGGTCCAGTCGCGAGAGCTTCGAGCTCGACGGTGAGTGAGACGCGCGTGATTCTGATTCCTTGTTTTCAACGAAATTTGCTCGGTTGATCGCATCCGGATTCCTTTTTTTTTTTGTGCGAAATTTAGCGGATCTTTTAGGCGTATATTAGCTAAGCACATGATGGGCTGCTTTGTTGAATTCTGCACTTCTAATCTATCTTCAGTCGCTTTTTTGGGGATTTGGCAAGCCTAGAACTAAGACAGTGACATTGTGTAATACTAGAGCTAAAGAGAGTGTAATTTCGTTCTCATTCTCACAACTGAATCTGAATCGCCGCATTTGAGAAAGATTCGGCATTCAATTTGGAAAATGAGGAGTTCAACTGTAAATTGCACAAGTTGAATGCAACAAATATACAGTTGTTCCACTTCTATTTTTAAGTTACGCAACGCAACAACCTTTAGCTCGCCATTGGGTTGTCATGGCCTTGTTGGATGCTGGAACTTCCAAGGCTCTTAAACTTAATAATAATGCCTTTCTTTAATCATAAATTGGTCATGTACTCACGACAGGGACGTTGGGAATTTATATATTGTGGTACGTAACATCTGTCATTTCTGTATCTAGTTCAGAAGAAATCAAAGAGAGCTAGGGTCATCTTCTTGGAAGTTGCATGACCTTGTCAATCTTTCTTGCTAGAAGCAGTTTAATCTTCCGTAGAGGGAGAGACTAGAGGGAGAGATAGGCCTGAACATCTTGCAAATTTTACTGCCTACCTCACGAGAAAACTGAAACAAACTCTCGCTTCTTATGAAGTTGTTATTGTCCCGTGTGAAACTAGTTGGGCATGACAAATAAGTCTCTTTCCCTCTTGCTGCTTTCTCAGCTCAGAAAGTCTAACAAGGAGGTAGTGGCCTTTTATTTCTGCCAGCCCTTTTAAGGTTCTAGAGCTTGATAAAAGCACCTTGGGACCCATGATACCGAATCGGCGGCTTAAACTGCATTGGCAGCAGTCCACGTCCATTTGTCAGTCCCTCTCTTACAGGGGCAAAATGTCTTATGTGCTCCTACATTTGGCAGTGCAGGTAACAGTGAAGGCATCTAAAACATAAAATTATGACAAACAGATAACTTATGCAGTACTTTTTTTTGCAACCCATAGTATAGATGCAGACACTCATGCACTTACTAAAGTTTTTTTTTAAAAAAAACAACTTGGAGAATAGGAATGAGAATTTGGCTTTTGTATCTATAATAAAGTTTGGTTGAGTGGTACCAACAAGCATGTTTTGAGCTCGGTGACATTGTGAACGTCGAAGTACCGATGCAAGTACCAAGACCAAGACTACATGTATTATGATTTGGATACATGTATATCTACTTCAATCCACATGTGTTGGAGTGGAATAAAATATAATTTAGTTTAATTCCACTCCAATCCATTTCAAAACATGTGGATTGAGATAAATACATGCGCATCCAAAAAAGGCCTATGTTGGATGACCTGTGGTCAGCTTCTTGTGGTTATTTTAGTACTTGTTGATCCTGGATCCAAGGCTTGTTCCATCATTGCATTTTTCTGTTGATTCTTTGCACGGTTTTCTATCTTCATTATCATGCATAATATAAATATACTACCTAGGTTGCAAATTGGCTTCTACAACAGTATTGTCAAGTGGCTGATGGTCATGACCTCAAACAGTTGGAATATGCAGGATTCCAAAAAGAAACACTACCTCTTGTACTTCAGTCTGAATTTTTTACATCTAAAACTAGTTGACTCTGATTTTTTTTATAACTAATCGATGAATACTTGCCCTGATCAATATCAATATGCTATATATGTTTATAAGGTTCTAAGAACGGCAAGTTGCTGTCTGCGCTGCGCGACGCCAAGATCGGACACGCGTACGAGCCGTTCCCGTGGGAGAAGAAGATGAGGGAGCTGCTGCCGGTGCCGGAGGCGAGCTGCTTCCTCTCCCTGCTGCTGCTGCCCAAGGCGACGGACGGGTCCAACACGCGTTACAACTCCCTCGAGGACACCCTGGCGCGCGCGTACGCGTGGCTGCTATCGTCGCAGGCCTCCGGCGTGCCCGTTGTCTTCATGAACGTGCAGACTGAGGCGCTGCTGACCAAGATCTCCGGTGAGACGGCGGTGTCGACGGTGAACATGGCCTCGCTGTCGGACCTGGCCGGCATGGCGAACGCGAGCCTGTACGGCTTCGAGGACTACCACGGCGTGGACATCGGCGTGGTGCGGGCCGTGCGGCTGTGGTACACGCCGGCGGCGGGCGAGGCGGCGCTGGAGCTGAGCCTGCGCCAGGGCGACACGCGGCTGGGGTTCGCCATCAGCCGCACCGAGGAAGGGTTCATCTACGTCTCCTCGGTGGCGGAGGAGGGCACGCCGGGCGTGGCGTCGGCGCGGTCGGGGCTCCTGGAGCTGCACCGCGCGGCGCGCAGGGCGTCCAAGCTGCTGGTGCTGTCCCGCGTCGGCGGCGAGAAGGTGCTGCCCTGGATGGTGTCCACCGCCGGGAACGTCAAGTGCTTCGACACCGTGTCGCTGAGCCAGAAGCTGTCGCTGCACCGTCACGCGCTCCGCCCCATCACGCTGCACTTCCTCATGTGGGACCGCGACCTGGCCGCGTCGCTGCCTAAGGACGCCGACGTAGACAAGCCGCCTCCTGTGCACCTGCTGCCGTCGCCGCTCGACGTGGCGGCGGACGACCTCGACGGGCCTGGGCTCGCCAGCAAAGACTCGAGGGACTCGTCGTTTAGGTTCCAGAACATCGACCTCCCGGACAGCTGGTTGTGAATTATGGAACCAAAATTTTTCTTTTCTCCCAGAAGTTGAGAACTGTTAATTATGTATGTATAAGCATGATGTCAGTAATCAGGTGAGCATCGTACTCATACCAAGGTGTGTTGTTGTCATCGCATCATGGTTCGTGATGTGATCAAATGTGTTTTATTGTAACCGCGAAAGCATCACAAGAAACACATGTTCGATGAGCAGGACATGGTAACCGGCCGTTGGTTACCACCAATCTAAAGATATGATTTGGCCAGCTCGCGCAGCCAGCGCGTCCACGTCGTCGGCTTTTCGTGGTCGTTCGATCGGCCGCGCGGACGGCCCAGATCGGGCGAGCCACGGTTATTTTTCGAAAAAACCCTTCTACTTTTCAGAAATCAACCCGCGATCCAGAGTCCCTCAGGATATTTTGCAAGAAACTCCTCAGATTTTTCTGAAATCAACCCGCAGTCCAGAACGGATGCCCTCCGGGTTTTTTGCAAAAAAAAACCCTTACCTTTTCCGAAAATCGACCCGTGCTCCACAAACTCTCTCACCATTTTTTGCGAAAACCTCCTCGGATTTTTCTCAAATCAACATACAGTCCAACTTTGATTATATCTTTTTTCCAAAAAAAAAACGTTTGGCCAGTGCACCGCACGCATGGGCGCACCCGAAAGACTAGTTCATAATATACATCAAAGGTTCAACCCATATTCAAATAGAACCATCCTGGCAGTACCTCATCTACAATAAGCACCGATAGATCCACCGTTATCATGATTTAAACTCTGATGACTAACAAGCTTGCCCATATGCCAGTTAACATGATTCAAACTACGATGACTACAAAACCTATCCATACGCTTCCGATCACAAGGACCAGCACAAAATTTGTTGATCCGAACAAATTACTCACAAATATCTGTTTCAAACAAACTCATGGCCAGAGTGCTCACAACATCAATTTCCCAGCCACGAGTAAGGAATTTGAAATACTACGACAAGATAGCATCCTCTTATCTATCCTGCCATCCAGGCATCAATTTGGACCAGATTTAAACATACTAACTACAGAAACATCATTTACTAAGATGAAGCGATAGAAAACAAAACGTTGAAACAAGCTCCAAGCAATATATTTTGCTGTCCCCAGTCATTCTAAACACAACTAGAGATGTCCTGCTAAGGGAATGTCAAATGCGTCAGTCCCAAGTCCAGTGCCAATTTATCATGTACAACACCACACATACCAGATCCACCCATGTCTATGATTAACACCCTACAGATAGAAGAAAGATAACGACTCCTAAATGAACTATCCATCAGAAAGGGAAGGGGAAAAAAAAGAAGGAACACGATTACAGCAGTAGGTGATACAGACAACCAATTACCCAAGATCCTTTTGCATCCCTGTGAGCAACTGCACCTTGATACATTATTACCCACCCTAGCTATGTTACAGACTACACCTTCAAATGGGCTAAGTAAAGGTCCACAAGAGTCAACCAACACCATTTATACTGTACAAAATTGTCATCTAAGCAAGCCTCAGGCTGAGAAACTGTCACTGCTAACAAATGTGATAACTCCTTTACATGTGCACGTTAACAAAGCCAAAGGCCATGCTGAATATGACAGACGGTTCATCAGAAATGGCCTTGTACAAGAAAGCTCATTCCAAGCAAGCTCATGATGCAGTAGAGCCTGCAGAAAGTGGGCCATCTCTTAGCTGTTGTAGACAGAGTTGAAGCTGCTTTTGGATCATCTCGGCAACCATTCGCAGCCTTCCTTGGCCCACCTCTCCTGCTACACCAGACCCATTCACAGTTTCCACAGCTCTTGAAACCTTTTGCTTACATCTTTCCCACTCCTCAAACTGCAACCAGCAGGCTCTCCCACCATGGCTCCCATTCATAGCAAGGAAAGCTATATGATTGTTGTCCCCAAAAGAATAGTGAAGTTTCACAGATACACAATATGGAAGCCAGGCAGCTCCACCAGCTACATTCATGTGAGGAATGAGAGCATGGTCAAGTACAAATGTCAGGGCAAATTCTACTGAACTGTGGGCTCTATCATGATGAATATTACTCTTGGCTAAAGTGCTGTTCTCTGTGTTATCAGCTGCAGCTGATCCTGAATGATTCTCCAAACAAAGCTCGATCCGAGCCCTCTGAGCGGTAGCAATGTCCCCGTTAACCGGGGAAAGACCTTTCTTCCATGTAATCAGCTTTAAAAACTCACGCAGTACTGAAATTGGCAATGTAAGCAAAGTGATAAAAGAAGCAACTCTAGAAGCATCGTATGGTTCGGAGGCAACACGCCTGCTAAAGTAGTCACATATTTCATTGATTTCAGCAGCTGCTAGCTCTTCCTGAGCATTGCTCTGAGCTTGCTGCTGCTGTTGCTGGTGGTGAAATCTTTTCACACTCAAGACTTGTAGAAGCAGTTGAACGCGATGGACACTTACTGCAAATACATATCCTCTGCAATATGAAATCAGGAACCAATTTACTGGCAGTCCCAAATGGAAATACTCGACTCAAAGGAAAGACAAGAAAGGTGAGTCATTTTGAACTGCTGACACCTGACACTAGCAATTTCTCATCTTATAACTCTGGCCTAAGCTCAACCAATTACAGGCTGATAGCACCAAATTAAATAAAAAGAAGAACACCGCTTATATTCAGTAAAAGAAGTCTACATAACCCCCCAACTATTCAGGATGGACTACTTCACCCCCCCAACTATAAAACCGGATTTTCTACCCCCTGAACTTTCCAAAACTAGTCAAATAACCCCCTAAACGGTTTTGGATGGTGGTTTTGTCTTTTTCTTTTTTATTTATTTCTGCTGAATCTTTGAAAAATCATAGTAAATCACAGAAAATCATAAAATGGAAAATCCAATTTTGTTGGACTTCACATAAGTAGATCTAGACAGTGAACATATAATATGGTATGCTTTAGTACAAAGTTTTTGCTGTAGCTTTAGATCTATGTTTTTCTGTAATTCATTGGAATAATTCATAGCTGCAGCTTGTATGGTCTAATTGTGGTGAAATTTTTATGGTGGGCTAATTATTGTATGCTTGAACTTTAATAAAAATTTCATACTCATTGGATCACGTATAACTTAATTATAGATTTATTTAGGTTTATGCTTGTTAAATCTATGCTTTATCTATAACTAAGTTATACATGATCCAATGAGTACGAAATTTTTATTATAGTTCAAGCATATAATAATTAACCCACCATAAAAATTTCACCACAATTGAACCATAGAAGCTGCAGCTATGATTATTCCAATTAATTACAGAAAACGATAGATCTAAAGTTACAGCAGAAACTTTGTACTAAAGCATACAATATTATATGTTCACTGTGTAGATCTACTCATGTGGAGTCCAACAAAATTAGATTTTCTATTTTATGATTTTTATGTGATTTACTATGATTTTTCAAATATTCAGCGGAAATAAATAAAAAAGACAGACAAAACCACCGTCACTGTAGCAAAACCACTGTCCAAAACCAAAACCGCTTGGGGAGTTATTTGACCGGTTTTGGAAAGTTCAGGGGGTAGAAAATCCGGTTTTATAGTTTAAGGGGTGAAATGGTCCACCCTGAATATTTGGGGGTTATATAGACTTTTTCTTTCAGTAAATAATGTTAGTCGCTGAATTCTTACTCTTGATAGTAGCAGAATTCTTACTCTCATCGAGAGAGGATGACACTAGGAGTTGGAGCAATTTTCTGGTTTATTTCTCATACAAATGCCATGCCAACCTGAGGAGTTGAGGGTACATATTTATAGGCTGCTAGCCAGCTAAGCATATGCCAAGATGCTAGTCTAAGATGCTGTCCTAGATGCTAAGATGTTGTCCTCTAGGATGCTGTCCTATATGCTAAGATGCTGTCCTCTAAGATGTTGTCCTCTAGTATAAGATGCTGTCCTAAAAACAGACCATGCAGGGACAAGGACCATGTGACCAGCACAGCCCCACAAAGACCAGCCAACACATGAGACTTATCCCATCATTCTCCCCCTAAGTCTTGTGCGTCGTCTTGTGGGAAAGTTGAACCATCCCAGTCCTAGAGCAGAGCTCAAGAAACTTGATCCTCCCAAGGGGCTTGGTGAGCAGGTCCGCAAGCTGGTCCTTGGTGTTGATGTAGCTCGCCTTGATGCTCCCTTCCTCCAAACAGCCTTGGATGAAGTGGTACCTCACCCGGACGTGCTTGCTGCGTTCATGGAAAACAAGGTTCTTTGCCAGGGCCACAGCGGACTTGCTGTCCACCCTGAGCTCCACCGCTCTAGTGTCTCTGCCGAGGAGATCACCAAGCAGTCGAGAGAGCCAGAGCACCTGAGTCGAAGCGGTGGAGGCCGCTATGTACTCGGCCTCGCAGCTGGACAAGGCCACCACCTGCTGTTTGACCGACTGCCAGCTAATGAGGCACTTGCCGAGGAAGAAGAGGATCCCGCTCGTGCTCTTGCTGGTGTCGATGTCGCCGGCGTGGTCGCTGTCGCTGTACCCGATGAAGTGTGCCGCCCCAGGGCACCTAGGGTAGTAGAGGCCGTGGTCGAGAGTCCCCGCAACGTAGCGGATGATCCTCTTCACAGTCTGCTGGTGCTCCGTCGTCGGTCGCTGCATGAACCGACTAACGTAGCCGACGGAGAATGCCAAGTCCGGCCGTGTGTGGCGAGGTAGCAAAGGCTCCCCACAAGACGCTGGTACTGCGTAGCGTCCACCTCCTCCGTCATGCTGTCGCGGCTCCGCTTCAGCCTCTCCTCCATCGGAGTGAGAGCTGGGTTGCAGTCGGTGAGCCCAGCTAGCTCAACGACGCGCTTGGCGTAGGCGGTCTGTCAAAGCGTGATCCCGGAGTCATCCTGGTGCACCTCGATTCCCAGGTGGGAAGAGAGAGGCCCCAGGTCACTCATCTGGAAGGTGGCCTTCATCTCTTCCTTAAATGCCGCCACCTCCAGTGATCACCAAGTCGTCGACGTAGACACCCACCAGCAGAGCATTTCCTCCACTACCCCGTCGGTAGATGGCCGCCTCGTGCGGGCTTTGCTCGAAGCCCATCCCTTTTAGCGTTGAATCCAACTTGGCATTCCACACCCTCGGTGCCTGCCGCAAGCCATAGAGGGCATTCCGCAGGCGGAGCACCTTGCCCTCCTTGCCGGGGATCGCAAATCCCGGTGGCTGATGCACGTAGACCTCCTTCAAGTCGTCGTAAAGGAACGCCGACTTGACGTCCATGTGATGCCCTCCTAGGCAGCTAGCGCAAGGAGTCACACGGACTCCATCCGTGCCACGGGAGCGAAGGAAGTCGACCCCTCCTGCTGCACGAATCCTCATGCCACCAAGCGAGCCTTGTGCTCGACGATGGCGCCGGCATCATCCCTCTTCAGCTTGTACACCCACTTAAGGGTGATCGCGCGGTGACCACGAGAGAGGTCAGCAAGCTCCCAGGTGCGGTTCTTCTCAACCGCATCCATCTCCAACTGCATCGCGGCGTGCCATGCCGCGTGTCTCTCGGCCTCTGCGAATGACCGAGGCTCGCCGTCGTCACATGCAAGATGCAACTGCGCCTCCAGGTCCTCCAGGTCGTGAGGCACCGGTCCGGCAAGACTTACCGGTCGCGAGAAGGTTCTCCATCGTGACGGTACCGCAACGGCTCGCCGCCGTGGTGCGCGTCGATCGCGCTCCTCGTCGTGAGAGAGCAGAGTAGCGAAGCTCAACCGGGTTGTGCTCGACACAAGCCGGTGTTGGAGAGACGCGTGCGGAGAGGTGCTGTCGGTCTTTGGAGTGCGTGGCGTTGCCGGATCGTGGAGCGGCGAAGGACTCATCGCAGTACCGAGGTCCCGGCCGAGAGCGTGGTCTTTGCCGGAGAAGCGGGCGCCGGGTCGGTGGAGGCTCGGGACTGGGTAGACGCGCTTGTCGAAGAAGAGCCGCTACTCCCCGGCTCTCGGTGGACGTACTCGGCGAGTGAAGTCGCCGACGCCGTCGAGCCGAGCCGTCATCCATCGCCTTGTCCCACGCCCATCCTCGCCCTTTTGTCGAATATAACGTCGCGGCGCAGGCGCATACACGCGTGTCTTCGGTCGAGGATGCGGTAGGCCTCGAGCCCTCCGCGTAGCCGGCGAACACTCCCGAGTGCTCTCGTCGCCGAGCTTGCCGATGTGGCCAACCTCCTTGGCGAACGCGAGGCGACCTAAGACCCGCAAGTGGGAGACCGCCGGCTTGCGCCCATGCCAAGTCTCGACGGCGCCCCGCCGTCGAGCGCCTTTGGTAGGCGAAGCGGTTAAGGATGTAGACGGCCGACACCACCGCTCTCCCGAAGAAGGCCGGCATCCCCCCTCGCTGAGAAGGGCCCGAGCCATCCCCACAACCGCTCTGGTTGCGCGCTCGACAACGCCCGATCTTTGTGGTTGACGGTAGCGAGTAGTGGCGTGCTGAATGCCCATCATCGGTAAAGAAGACGACGCGAATTCAGCCGCCGTGAATTTCGCCGCCGTTGTCGGGCGCAAAGACGCGCAGCTTCAGCTTCCACCACACTCGCCTCCGCATGTCATGAAGCGCTGATGGCGTCCGCAGCCTCTCCCTTGCCGCCGAGGACCATCACCCACATGTAGCAGAGAGAGGTCGCCGACGAGCAAAGCAGGAAGTAGAGTCGTCCTCCGGTGTGTGGCGGTGTCACGGGCCACACAAGTCCCCGTGCACAAGCTCGAGCTCTCCTTGGCTCGAAAGCTCGCCATTGGGGAAAGAGAAGTCGCCCGCCGCCAACACGCAGACGCCGCAGAGCCGCTCCACATAGTCGGCACGGCAGCAGCCTCGCACCACCGCGGGCACGGAGCCGCTTCAAGGCCTCGAAGTGAAGGTGCCCAAGCGCTCGTGCATCGCCACGCTTCGTCATCCCGACGAAAGCGCCGAGATAGAGGGGTTGTGCCACCGACGTTAATGACGAGAGTCGACGGCGCCCCGGATACCTTGGCAAGAAGGCGACGACGGCGATCCCAAATCCTCATGACTCCATCCTCAACCACCACGCGCGAACCGTTCTCATCCAACTGTCCCAAGCTGATGATGGAGTTTCTCAACGCGGGGATGTAGTAGACTCCGGTGAGCAGCCTGTGCTCACCAGACACGGCGGTGAAGATGACGGAGCCGACGCCCTTTGATCTCCACGCCGGAGGCATCCCCAAACTTGACGGAGCCTCGGACGCTAGAGTCAAGCTCGGTGAAAGACTCCCGTCGACCGATCATGTGATGGGTGGCGCCGGTGTCGAGGCACCACCCGTCAGTCTTGTCGTTGCTGGAGCCGTCGCCGAGGAGGGCGTGTGCTTTTGGCTCGTCAAGGTGGAGGGCCGCTGCGGCCGGTGCCACTGGAGGTAGCTCGATGCTTGCATGTGCCATGAACAGAGCCGGCTCCTCCTCGCTTTGTCGCGACGTGGGCCCTGGCCGCGTGGTGGTCTGCCGACGATCCTTGGCCCAATGGCTAAGCCGCCGCGCGATTGCGGTAGGTGTCGTCTCGTCGTCGGCTTGGCTCGCTGCCGTGGCGGCGCCGCCTGGCGCCTCGCGGGCATCACCCTCAACACGTCCTCGCGCCCTGGCCTGGGTGTCTCTGCGCGCCTTGCGTGGCTTGCCACGCTTGCGGCCGCCTGCCGCGGAAGAAGGTTGTCTTAGTGAGGGTAGGCCACCCACCGCCGGGGCGACGCGCCCCTAACGACACTGGAGCCCGTGGCAACCACGGTACCGTTTCGGGGAGAGAGAGCCACGCGGCCTGTGAATGCCGCGCTCTCCATCGACTCGTCCGCCACCATCGCCGTGCAGGCGCCGTGCAGGCTCGCTGCGCGCTCAGGCGCGCGCTGCCGCCATCGCGCCGCGCGCCATTGTCTCGCGCTTTCTCCCTCCTCAGGCAGCTCGAGGTCGCGTCGCGCTGTGCTGCCAGCAGAACGGAGCTATCGATGTTTGCCTGCCAGGCCTCGACCTCTCGCTGCCGCCGCCTTGACGCGCCGCATCCACCACCGCCCGCTCGCTCGCTCGCCTGCCTGCCGCTGCCCGCTGGCCATTGCCGGCCTCGACACCTTCTTACCGCCCGCCGTTGTCTCTCTGCCGCCGCTCGCTGCGTTCCTCTGCGCGGCAAGTTCGGCCTCTCGCCGACGCCAGATGCTCGAGGCGACCGAGCACGAGATCGCCTGCGGACATGACATGACGCGCCACTGGGGCTGCGGGGGGGAGGGGTGCGCCAGACGCAGCAGAGAGAGAGAGGGAGTGAGCAGGAGCAGCCGGACTGTTGCTCCTAGCTGGGGCCGTTGCGAGGCTGGGAAAGGAGATGAGCAGGAGATGCTCAGGCTACAGGATAGTACGGCTCTGATACCAGTTGTTAGTCGCTGAATTCTTACTCTTGCTAGTAGCAGAATTCTTACTCTCATCGAGAGAGGATGACCCTAGGAGTTGGAGCAATTTTCTAGTTTATTTCTCATACAAATGTCATGCCAACCTGAGGGGTTGAGGGTACATATTTATAGGCTGCTAGCCAGCCAAGCATATACCAAGATGCTAGTCTAAGATGCTGTCCTAGATGCTAAGATGCTGTCCTCTAAGATGTTGTCCTCTAGTCTAAGATGCTGTCCTAAAAACAGATCATGCAGCTATAAGGACCATGTGACCAGCACAGCCCCACAAAGACCAGCCAACACATGAGACTTATCCCATCAAATAATGAAGTATAGTCTTAAGGTATCAGTAAATACCACAGTACATATTCGATGCACATCTGTAACATGTCAAATAGATGAATGCATATATAATCCGAAGGGCAGATATACACATAATAAAGTACTATTTCCAAAAGGTCAGGGAACTCGTTTCTTTTTGAGGGGAAAAGGTCAGGGAACTCAATATCGCTAAGAACCAAAACTTCCATGAACAACAGAAATTAAGGATACTTTGCTAGTGAATACTGTAGATCCTGAATCTTATTGCGCAGTGGAAAAGTGAATAACATAGACTTTAAATATGATGCTAGAAAACAAAGGATACTTTGCCAGTTTATATTTTCTTACCCGACATAGAACCGGAGCGCAGGCTGCTCTTGATCCAAATTCAAGAGAGCACCCTCATTGTCCTTTAAGATTGATCCTAGTATTTCTTTCAAAAGTTCAGGCAATTGTGCAAACAACCATAGAACTCCAAGGTACTTTAGGATCCCTCTCAGCACCTTTTTAAGAGCTGCCAAAGGAACCCAACCACCACCATATCCGCCATCATCCCCCAGCCCTATAAAAGCTGTGTTTAGTTCCCCTTTCATGTGAACAGGGAGACCAGCTCCAGCAGTAAGTCGCACAGAAGCTCCACTAATACCAGAAGCAAGAGCCGAAGAAGCCAACATGGCATTTCCTGCTCGACTCAAACTGGCTGCTACATGGTTAGCAACACCAGAAGTCGGCCTGGACATAGAAACACCAGGGGTAGCACTTAAACGATTTGCACTAGGAGCAGTTTGTGGAGCTCCAGCATTGTTATTTAAGTGTCCACTAGCCTGTGTAGCATTCATGAAGTTGGGTTCAAGAGCATTTAGACCCTGAGCAACATGTTCCATTATGAAAGGCCGGAACTGTGGGCATGGCAACGATCCACCAACTGAAGGTCCACCTTTAGGAGGAGTAGCCGGCTGGAGCCAAACCTGATCCCCAGCAAAGCAGCGCATGTCAACAGAGAATTTCTTGCGATATATAATGCGTATCCAGTATGGCCCACGAAGTACGACCGAAACATCAAAAGGCAGTAATGAACTGGGAACAAGCCCAGGTCCACCCCGTCCAGCAGCTGAAAGCATTGCAGCAGCATGAAGATTATGACTGCCTAAATGGGCAGCTGCAGCATTTGGGGGGACAGGTGCATGATGTATGGTTGATGAAGATGAACCATTTGCTATAGGCCCTTGTGCCGGGATGTTCGGCTGTTTTGGCATAGAGCTATATCCAGATGAAACGGTAACAGGCATCCTTGCAGGACGTATTGCACCTCCAAGGGCAAGTAAAGGTCCTGCTGTAAACCGAATGCAATCCAAGAAAGATGCTACCTCTCCACCATTCACGAAATCCTCCAGAAACTGCATTTTTTGCAAGATTGATTATCAGATAACGAGGCAAATAAAGGCAAACTTTATTGCAAGATGATTGAGCAATCTCACAGAAACTTTATGCCTAAGCAGAGAGCATAAGCTTTTGTACTCAGGTTTCACCTATTTATCAACAGCGTAGTGAATGGATGGAAGCCAATTAGAATGACCCATCTGGCACTGCCAGTAAAGCAGATCATAGGAATTGTACAGTGAAACAACAAAAATGCCAGCACTCATTTATGCTTCCAGACTACTCGATAAAATAATGATGCCATTATTAAAGGACAAATGCATAAGAAAAATGCTTCTTGCGAAAGCAAAAGCTAGCAAGTATGCAACTGTGCAGTGAGTACATGTCAGCCTACACAATGTGATTTTGTCCACAGAAGAATGTTCAGATATGATTTCCAATTAAAATTGACAGTCAGAATTAATGTACAGCACGTTGAGGTTCGATGGAACTACAAAGTGGCTAAGCAATGTTTAGAAAAAACATCACAATACAATAAAAAGGCATAAACAGATAGAATTTTTATTATTTCAGGTAAAAGCCTTAATAGGCATTTGAGTAACCAGGTGAACTTTCAATGTCAAAATGTATTCATGGCTGTAGATTTGATGTTTTAAGATCCAAAGTACACATCCAATGTGATTGATCCAGGAAAAAAAATGGAAAAGGAAGATAAACCTTTGTGTGTGGCCAAAGCTGATCTGGAGAAACATGCATCGTGCAACCACCCTTAGCAATCTCCCATTCAACAACTATGTGTACCATAGGCATGGTGCCGTAACTAAACCATAAGCTCATTAGACCGACAGCTTCAATCCTGAATGTCTTTCTCATCTGCTCAGATAGCTTGTCAGCAGCATCACTGTTACCTTTATTAACAGATTGTGATTTCACCTCCATGGATAACTGATTGTCATCTAGCTTGTCATCAAATTTCACACCAATCAGTCTCCTCATTCCACGAGCAAAGGAACGAGCATTTGAAAGTCGTTGTAAATCTGACACAAGCTTCTGGACACTATCTGCCTCAACAGTGTTGTAAGTTAAAACAACACCATTGGAATCAAATGAGATATGTGAATCCATTTCTGAGCTATTCGCAATGCGAATGCCAACACCCCATTGTGTTGTGGTGCTTCCTCCATGAAGTTCCCAAAGTTCCCTGAAATGTGGATCATTTATCCTAACATCCCAAGACATGCTTCCAGCCTTACCAAGGCGCAAGCATATATGCTTCCAAGAATCATCTTGTGCAAAAGGTAATCTTAACCAAAGATTCAACGATGGTGTCCGCAGACCAACTTCATCCACATATGGAATGGCAAGGGAATCCATCTGAGCAGTTAGTTGAGCATGTTTGATGCATAATGAACAGTGTCTTATGACATGTAGTAGCACAGAAGCATATATAGTTGCCGGAACACAATTATTTCTTTCCGCAAGAACATCTCCATAGGTGAAGCCAACTCTTGATTGCAAATTAGAAAAGTGTGCCTGCAAAGACAGGAGATTCTGCACTGATTCTGATTTTTTTCTCCGCTTTCTTGGCTCACTAGCTTGCAGTCCTCGTAATGAAGGGATACTTGGTAAGAAATCTGAAAGAGAGCGCTTCCTAGATGATGCACTATCAGAACCAGCGGTAATGAGCTGCTCTAATCCTGAAAATTGCCCAAGTAAGATAGCATATATTTGAACAATATATATTTCCAATGAAGCCGTAATTTAGTTCACAATAATGGTTACCAAAAGTTTTACATCTGAAGCTGTAATCTAGTTCACCATAATGATCACTAAAAGATTTACATCTGACTCTAATATATAGAAGAAAATTTTAGTAAAAATACCTCCGGTTATAGTTGAAGATCCAACCAAATGACCAGGCATAGCGTTCCCAAGATTCCCTGAATGTGAGCTTTGAGCAGGGATTTGATTGCTGTTATTATTGCTTGAAGGTACAAGCTGAACTGATTTATTTACACCTGCAATATCATAGTCAAATGGAGAGCTTAGCAAGCACAGGTCATGATTAGAATTAGAACCTGACAATTTGGTCATAGACATTACAGGGCTTGAAGAAAATGTGTTTGTACCTTGTAAATGTCTAAAATTACTTGGGAAATAGCTATTCAAACTGACACTAGGATGAACTTTTGCCATATTATTAGCTTTGGTATGAGATAAGCTTCCATCATGCATTGGTGAGACAACCCTAGCATTCATTCCCTGAATATCAACTGAAAGAGAATGATTATGTGCAGCAGTAGAACCACGTTCATATTCGAAAACCTCATCAACAATAGATGAAAATGATGGTGAACAAGCAGGAAGTAGCGGAAGAGGCACAATTCCATTCTGGACAGGAAGATCACCCTCCATCATGTCAGCAGGGTCCACTAAACTTTGTAGGGCCTGCAGCTTCATATCAAAAGGATTTGCATTCGTCTCATTTTTAAGTATTTGCATATGTCCTATATTGATTTTGTTAAACCTGATAGCTTCTTTCGCATCTCCATTTGCATTAGTCTTATCATTTGCATCACACTGTGTCTCAAGCAAATGAAAAACAGGCCTGAAGTCCTTATCAAGTTGCATCAACAAATAATAGGCATTTGCACAATGTGGAAATCCCATGACCATCAAATCTGAGCCATGTAATATGGTCTTGGGAATCTTCAGAGTGCCCTGAGACTGCTGATAGACCTAGAATAAAAACAATGTAGTTTAGCACTTTACGTTTGAACAAGCAGACTTCGGCATGGTCCAACGAGTCATCTGATAATAAACCATAGACTGCCTTATATTCCATACAATTAACCAAGCAAACATCATTTGTACTGTGTTTCTCTTCTCAGAAGCTAAAAGCAATTTCCCACATCCAGAAAAGAACCATTTAATTTAAACAAGCATTATGACAGATAAGTCATACTTAAAAGGGTGTCATCTTGTGATCTCCAACATCATCTCATTGATTCCACAATAATATAATTATTATAAATAATACTACAAAAATATACTTGAAAGCATCATATTATGAAATTGAACAAAGTATATTCATCATCACATGTCACCAATTTAAATATTTGTAAGGATATTACTGATCAAAAGTGCAGGTGTGATTGCATGCATCCAATGGTACTTCAAATGATACGCAAGAAGCAAAGATGACACCACATCCACTAAGTGAAAAGGTTAGACATCATGGTATGTATAAACACATAAACAACCTTAAGGCCAAAAAAACTTCCAGATGCAGCAAATAGATGGAGGATGCTCCTGGTCCTTAAGCTTGAAAAAACCTCGGTAGCTGATGTACTCCCTTTGTTTAGAGCTTCCTCACAGTCCATAATCGCAGCACGGGGTAATATATTTTCAGGTGATTGGAGGAGAAAGCGGCCACTCCTATTTTGAAGGGAAAAGGAAAGAGTCACAAAATTAGGAAGTTGAAAAATGCTAAACCAGGATTGTAGACATATATACATAAATATATCATTATTTGTGTCAGGCAAAAAAAAAATGTGTTACTCCTACATGATACTCCCACCTCCGTTCCAAATTATAGTTCACTTTAGCTTTGTACCAAGTAACTTTTTTAACATTGACCAAATTTATAGAAAAATGCACCAACATCTATAACACCAAATTAGTTTAATTAAATCTTCCATGCAATAAGATTTGATAGAGCATTTATTTGAGAAGTAGATGTTAATATATTTTTCTAAAAACTTGGCCAAAGTTAGAGAAGTTTGACTTAGGACAAAGTTAAAACTGAACTATAATTTGGAGCGGATGGAATATCAAGTATTTATTGGGTATACATATTATGGGCCAAATATTAGCATAGTATTGTAAAAAGTCTATCCGAGCCCTGAAAATTAGGACACATCACCTCTACCCCAAAACAAAAATGGTCCAAGCGCACCCCTTATGTAGAGTTGTTGTTAGAGGCGTATGTCATGGGCAATTAGAGGCAAATCTTGCCTTAGTTGGCTGATTGGGTTAGTTTGGAAGGTTGGGGGAATAATAGGAAGGAAGAGAGGAATTATACGGGGTGATTAGCCAGGGAGGCTATTTATATGTAACCCGAGGATTAGAGAAAAGCAAGAATTAGAAGGAAAAGCCTTCTCTCTTGCTCGGCCATGGGCAAGGCCCCCGGCCGGCCGCCATAACATCTAGCAGCCACATAACATCTGGTATCGGAGATGCCAGGTTCCGATGAGCCGCCGCTGGATCCCATCGCCAAGGCGTTGGCCGACCTCGCCCAGCAGGTGGCATCTCTATTGGTGCGTCTGGAGAGCGACCACCACTATCACCATAATCGGTGCCCAGCAGATCCAAGCCGAGGGCGAGAAGTTGCAGCAGATCGAGCAGCCGACGGACATCGCGACGGAGCCAGCGAGGAAGATGCTTAGCCGTCAGGTGTTAGCGGCGGTGCGGCTGCAGGCTGCTGCGCGCGGCCTCCTAGCGCATCGACGGGTGTAGGAGATGCGCGATCTGCAACTGATTCAGCCCCGCACCCCTTCGCAGCTCCTCCAAGTTGTGCATCGCTGTGTGGAGGACCTCGATCTCGTCCGCCACGTTGGGGATCTTGGGCATGTGGTTTCCCCCGCACGCGGCCGACGTGCTATTTCCCCCACGGGCGGCGGGTCTGCGGCGATGGGGGTTGGGGAGGCGCACCCCTTGCTGTCCTCCATCGGAAGCCCTCCTCTCTTCCCTGTGCGGCGCGGACCAGCAGCCATCCGGCGGGGAGAAGGCATGGGGTCACAGGCAGGCACGCACCGCGTAGCGCCGCCGCATTCCGCCACCGGCCGTCGCGAGGGCGCCTCCACTGGTCGCTGTTGCGACCACTCCCAGGTCTCAACACCCGCCAGACTGCGCCATGGGATCCAGGTGGCCATCCACGTGCGCTCTCGTCATCTGGATGGTGTCCACCTTCCAAAGAGGATGAGCTACTTGCCCAGGAGGGGTGTAGTGTTAGGCGTATGTCATGGGTAATTAGAGGCGTATGTCATCGGCAATTAGAGGCAAATCTTGCCTCAGTTGGCTGATTGGGTTAGTTTGGAAGGTTGGGGGAATAATAGGAAGCAAGAGAGGAATTATAGGGGGTGATTAGCCAGGGTGGCTATTTATATGTAACCCGTACGAGGATTAGAGAAAAGCAAGAATTAGAAGGAAAAGCCTTCTCTCTTGCTCGGCCGTGGGCAAGGCCCCCAGCCGACCCCCTCTCTCCCTCGCAATCGCCCTCGCAACCATAGCAGCCATAGCATCCACATAACAGTTGTAGACCACAGAACATAAACCGCTTGGCTGGTTTTGCCGAGTGGTTTTCTTGCATGGCAAGAACAGCTGGATCCTTTTCACCCCACAGGCTATGAAGATGATCCAATAAAGCTCCCATCCCTTCTCATTCAATGCCTTGAGTAGTGATGAATCTATCTATAATAATTACTAACTCACTACTTCAAACACACCAAGACCAATCAAGTTAAAACTAAATAAAACTTAGCTTTGCTAACATGGACCTTGATTTTTTTCCCCATATGGAACTTTTAACGACGCCAAAACGACAATCTAAAACATCAATCTGCCACCAGGTAGACACACTACAGATCAATTATTTTTTCCTCAATATCGTTTAATGATTGACATTTACAAAACGGCTTTTATCACACAAACTCGAGTGACATGAATGTGGTTGAGAGCCTTTTCTTACACAAAATGTCATGTGGGGCCAACAGTACAGCCGCCGGCCTCGGACACGAGGTACAGCCGGGGCAGTCCCCAAGGGGGAGCATGGCCTGGCAGAACCCCAGGAGGTTTAGGCGGCTGGAAGGGCTGCAGTTTCTAAGACAATTAAGTAGTAGTAAAGAGTAAGGAGTTAATTAGCCAGCTAGTAGTTAATGGCTGGCACAAGTAGCAATGGAGCAGAGCTCCTATATGTATCCTGTAACCGTTGAAGGAAAGAGGCAAGCAAGAAGTTATCTCCTAATCTCTCTCTCTCTATTCTTAAATCTCACCCCTGTTGTGGTAGCCAGGCAAAAACCCTGGCACCTCCATTACCCGGTTCAAGCTACCAGCTGAGAAGCCAAGGGCCTCCAACCCTAGGCGCCCAGGCCCTTGACAACTTGGTATCAGCTAGCCGGCGATCTTCTTCCACCTCCGCCCCACACTCCAATCCAGCAGCCACCTCGCCACCTTCTCCTGTCTCACCCACCGCCTCAGCAGCCTCCACTGCCTTGCCAATGGCTGAGCCGTCCACCGCTGACCTAGCCAAGATGATCCAGGCCCTCACCACCACCATGAACACCACCATCAACGACCTTCAACAACAGTGTCGCCGCTCTTCGCCAGCACCGGCTTTCTCCGGCTCAGCTCGCGTGGCTCGGGCCACGGTGACCACCACGGTGACTCGCCACCTCGTTCCGGTTGGACTTCCCAAAGCTCGACGGGAAATCCGATCCGCTGGCCTTCCTCAACCGGTGTGAGTCGTATTTTCATCAACAGCAAATTGCAGCCAAGGAGCAAGTTTGGATGGCGTCCTACAACCTTGAAAAGGGCGCTCAGATGTGGTTCCTCCAAGTGCAGCACGACGAAGGTACACCGTCTTGGCGCCGCTTCTCCGAGCTCCTCAACCTCCGCTTTGGGCCGCCGATCCGTTCTAACCCCCTGGGTGAGCTGATGGCGTGCAAGCGGACGTGTTTTAGCAGTAGAGTAGTACCAGACCGCTCGAGGAGGCCGCTTCCTCGCGTTGGCACACTCACAGAGGCGCAGCTGGTACAAGCGTTCACGGCAGATCGCAGCAGCCCGCCACCTCGGCGTGGAAGTCCACAACCCGCAGATCCCTCGTCATCGCCATGAGCCTCGCACAAGAAGCCGGAGCTGCGCGAAAGCAAAGATTACACCGCTGTTGTTCCAGCTCCGCTGCGCCACGCCAGACCACGCGCGGCCTCTTGACAGGCCACCACCACAATCGGCCTCGCCAAAGACCTCCACCCCAGACAAGCAGCCCCTTCCCTCACCATCGAAGGCCGCCAAGTGAAGAGGCTGTCCCAGTCAGAGATGGAGGAGCGGCGGCGATTGGGCCTCTGTTTCAACTGCAACGAGAAATTTGGCAGGGGTCACAACCGCGTCTGCAAGCACATCTTCCTCCTCGATCTGGCCGAAGCCGATGAAGATGACGACCCTGAGCAGACCGACGCTGCGGTCGATAGCCCGCTCATCTCACTGCTGGCCATGGTAGGCGTTCGCTCCAGCGAGACCATGAAGGTCCGTGATCCCGGTGGCGGGCGCCCCATCGCCCCGGGCTGGACTCAGGCTCCACCCACAACTTCGTGTCCGAGGAAGCAGCGGCACGCACCTCCCTCAGGCTTCAAACCCGCGGCAACATGAAGGTCACGGTGGCCAATGGGGAACGGGTGTCGTGCCCCGGCGTCTACCGTGCAGTTCCCTTCTCCATCACCGGCGAACCATTCCCCACCGACTTCTTCGCACTACCGCTGGCCGGTTATGATGTCGTCCTCGGCACCGAGTGGCTGGCCTCCCTTGGCCCGATTCTCTGGGATTTCGGTGCCCTCACCATGTCATTCTGGCACCGAGATCACCGGGTGTGCTAGACAGGCATCGCCGGGCGCACCGGTCCTTCTCTCCGCGCGTGCAGCGGGGCTGACCTCTTACCAGCCCTGCTGGACGAGTTCGCCGGGGTCTTCACCGAGCCGACCGGCATGCCTCCGCCTCGCTCCCGGGATCACTGCATCAACCTTATTCCGGGGTCTCCACCAGTGGCGGTCAGGCCATATCGCTACCCCGCTTTACACAAGGATTTAGCTGAGCGCCTAATGCACCAACATTTGGAACAAGGGCTTATCCGGTAGAAGACATCAGCGTTCTCCTCCCCGGTCTTGCTGGTCAAGAAGGCCGATGGGACGTGGCGTTTCTGCGTCGACTACCGGGCCCTCAACGCTATTACAGTCAAGGATGCCTACCCCATTCCAGTGGTCGACGAGCTCTTGGATGAGCTAAATGGTGCCCGGTTCTTCACCAAGTTAGACCTCCGCTCCGGCTATCATCAGGTTCGCATGAACCCAGCCGACGTGGAGAAGACGGCGTTCAGAACCCATGATGGGCTCTATGAATTCCTTGTCATGCCGTTCGGCCAGGTAACGCTCAAAGAACTTTCCAAGCATTGATGAACGACGCGTCCGCTTCTTTCTGCGCGCCGCTTCGTCCTCGTCTTCTTCGACGACATCCTCATCTACAGCGCCTCCCTGGCTGAACACCTTCGCCATGTGCGCGCTGTCCTCACTGTGCTGCATCAACACCGGCTGTTCGTCAAAAGATCCAAGTGTGCCTTTGGGGTTGCCTCCATCGCGTACCTAGGGCACACCATTTCTGCTCAAGGGGTGGCCATGGACCCTGAGAAAGTCCAGGCCGTCGCTGATTGGCCGCAGCCCCGATCAGCACGCGCGGTCCGAGGTTTCCTTGGGCTTGCGGGGTACTACCGCAAGTTCGTCAAGGATTTTGGCGCCATAGCAGCACCCTTGACGGCCCTATTGAAGAAGGAAGGGTTCACCTGGAATGAGGCAGCAGCCGCAGCTTTCGTCGCCCTCAAGACAGCCATCACTACAGCACCGGTACTAGCCCTGCCCGACTTCGAGCAGCCGTTCATCGTGGAGTGCGACGCTTCGACACATGGCTTTGGGGCCGTTCTCCTTCAAGATCAGCACCCCATCGCCTTCTTCAACCGCCCTGCTGCCCCTCAACATCAATCCCTGGCAGCATATGAGCGGGAGCTGATTGGTTTGGTGTTGGCCATTCGCCACTAGAGGCCGTACCTTTGGGGCGCCGCGCTCGGTCCGTCTCGACCATTTCAGCCTCAAATTCCTCTTGGATCGGTGACTAGCCACCATTCCCAAAGACCATTGGGTGGGCAAGTCATTGGCTTCGACTTTTTCTGTGGAATACAAGGCGGGCAAGATTACAATACACGGTGGCCGACGCATACTGTCCGCCGCCGTGACACAGAGGAGGCAGCAATCTTGGCGCTCTCAGGACCGCGTTTTGACTTCATCGAGCGCCTGCGACAAGCTCATCTTTAGGACCCCGCGCTGATCACCATCAAGGAGGAAATCAGTTCCTCAGTAGCAGCTCCCTGCCCTCGGTCCTCGTCGACGGGGTGGTCGCCTCTGGGCGCTCTACATCCCGCTTTGGCGCCCCTTCTCCAAGAACTCCTCACGCCATTCACGATGGCGGCCACAAGGAGTCCAACGCACACTCCAACAAGATCGCCGCGATTTCCACTCGCCCAACTGCGTGATGTGGTCACGACTATGTGCGCGCATGCGCCACATGTCAACGCTTATAAGTCCGAGCACCGCACCCAAAGAAGCCTTCTCCCTCCTCCGCCGGTGCCCACAAAGTAGATTTGGGCGGACATCGGGATGGATTTCATCGAAGCTTTGCCGTGCGTGGGAGGCAAATCCGTCATCCTCACCATTGATGATCGGTTCAGCAGATACTGCCACTTTATTCCGCTGGCCCATCCTTACTCCGCGGAGTCCGTGGCGCAGGCTTTCTTCTCCGACATCGTGCGCCTACACGGCATTCCGCAGTCCATTGTCTCGGACAGGGACCCCGTGTTCACTTCCATCTTCTGGAAAGAGCTGCTGCACCTCGCCGGAGTCAAGCTGCACATGACGACGGCATTCCACCCGCTGTCTGATGGCCAGACCGAAGCAGCCAACAAGGTGATCGTCATGTACTTGCGCTGCCTGACTAGTGATCGTCCCCGTCAGTGGCTGCGCTGGCTGCCATGGGCAGAGTATATCTACAACACTGCTTTTCAGTCCGCGCTCAAGACCACACCATTCCAGCTCGTCTACGGCCGTGAGCCACCCTCCATCCGATCCTATGAGCCTGGTGAAACCAAGGTGGCTGCGGTGGCCAAGACCATGGCTAAACGCGATGAAATGCTTGCTGATGCCCGGGCACGACTGGAGCAAGCTCAGGCAGTCTACAAGCAGTTCTACGACAAGCATCACCGCGACGTTCAGTACAGCGTGGGGGATTGGGTCTGGCTTCGTCTTCGCCATCGCGCCCCGGCCTCCCTCCACGACGTCACCAAAGGGAAGCTGCGACCCCGGTACTATGGGCCGTACTGCATCTCTGCCATCATCAACAACGTCGCCTACCGCCTCGAGCTCCCTCCCCGCGCCCGGTTGCACGATGTCTTCCACGTCGGGCTCCTGAAGAAGTTTGTGGGTACTCCACCGGCCATTCCCCCGGCTCTGCCTCCTATGCATCATGGCGCCACACAGCCGGTGCCAGACCACGCCTCACGCACCAGGCTGGCCCGCGGCGTCCGCCAAGTGCTGATACATTGGCAAGGCGAGCCCTCAGCCTCCGCCACCTGGGAGGACATCGACAGCTTTCACGAAGGCTATTCCCAACTTCCGGCTCGAGGACGAGCCGCTTGTCGGGGGGGGGAGAGATGTCATGGGGCCAACAAGATGACCACGGACTTCGGACACGAGGTACAAATGAGCAGTCCCCAAGGGGGCGCATGGCCTGGCAGAACCCCCAGGAGGTTTAGGCGGCTGGAAGGGCTGTAGTTTCTAAGACAATTAAGTAGTAGTAAAGAGTAAGGAGTTAATTAGCCACCTAGTAGTTAATGGCTGGCACAAGTAGCAATGGAGCAGAGCTCCTATATGTATCCTGTAACCGTTGAAGGAAAGAGGCAAGCAAGAAGTTATCTCCTAATCTCTCTCTCTCTATTCTTAATCTCACCCCTGCTGTGGTAGCCAGGCAAAAACCCTGGCACCTCCATTACCCGGTTCAAGCTACCAGCTGAGAAGCCAAGGGCCTCCAACCCTAGGCGCCCAGGCCCTTGACACAAAATAGGGATAATAATTAATAAAGAATGGATAGAAGTAAGACACTAAATCAACAAAATACTGACACACCTGATATTTATTCCAAGACTAACATACGCCTGACCATATGCCCTAACTTGAAGCACTTCGTTCCCAAAACAATCTGTGAAGCCCTTCTCTGCATTCTGTACAATTCATAAACATAAAAAATGATCAGTTCCACAACAAATACTCTGCAACAAGCCAACAACTGAAAAAAGTGCACACACAAGAAAAAAAATCTTTTAAGCATCAGGTGCAATTGGCGGCTGAAAAAAATCTACCATTCCATGTATGTGCCTCATTTATAAGGCAGATGTTCTAGACATGCATCTTGAATACGCAGGAGAGCTGTGTATCATTGCATTATGAAGATCTAGACATGCATCATTACCAGAATATTTTGGCGTAACCATTCAAAATTATTCATAGTGTTAGCAATTTATGCATTACAATGTTAAGGAAGAAAAAAAAACTAATATAATTCAATGCAAATACACAACTAATCATGTTCAAGCGTGATATGAATATGCAAATAAATCTGAGAGCACAATGAATTTATCAGATTTTTTGTAACAGTCATCAAGTTCAACTAAAACAGCAAAGAAAATAAATTCTGAGAACTAGTGAAGCTTTTCAAAAATGTTCAAACCCACCAGTTAACAGTGATATTGTCAAAACATACGGACAGATGAACACGTGAAACGCGTGGGTTAAGATTCTGACAGTAAAGATTATAGAAGGTACTATTCTTGATTTAATACCTTTTGTACCATGGTAGGTTCACAACAACAACAACAAAGCCTTTAAGTCCCAAATAAGTTGGGGTAGGCTAGAGTTGAAACCCAGCAGAAGCCATCAAGGTTCAGGCACATGAATAGCTGTTTTCTAAGCACTCCTATCTAAGGCTAGTAATCTTCTTTGACCCTAAATGATTCTCTATTTGCAACAAAAGATGTATGGATGACTAAATAGACTCACGCGCAGACACATATGTAATAACTATTCAGATTTTACACCAGAAACATCACACACAAGAACAGTAATCTCAATTTCAGTGGTCTTTCACATCGCTCAAACAATTTGTAGAAGTCCACAACAACTAAATATGGGAATGTAAGCATGTAAATTCCAGTTTAGGGGAAATTTTTGTGCCAACAGATGCATAAGAAATAAAAAATCTAAAAGATAGTTTAGTCAATAGTAGAGAGGTAAGGCCATGCAAATACAAAATTTAATTAACATTCTAATATACCTTTGTTGGGTCCTTCGCTGCTGCAACATCTCGTGTCAAGACAACATCTTTTGGGGACTGAGAAATTTGGACATTTTTGCACAGTTGTCTCTGAATATTAAGAAGGCGTGTGTGCCTATTGCAAGCAATTGCTCTCAAAATAAGTTGTTCAACATCAATGCAACTTAGATCAAGAGACAGGTTCGCCTCTTTATCTGTAAATGGATCGAGAATAAATGAACTATGCTGACACTTTATTTTCATGTCCAGCCCTGCCTCAATTTTGATAAATGGAGATGAATCAGGTTCTGTTGTGCTAGTGTTTTTCTCATCTAGCCAGTAATTAACTTTCAGGCCAGGTATCTTAAAACCACTTGAATCGAATTCCCCATCTTGAACAAGCTGCATTAGAGGAGTATTTCCAGTTTGTCCAGTGGCACTGTCAGAGATGAGTTCAGATCTTATGGCATCTTTCCACCGTCCCTGTCGAAGAACATTAGCCTGCCTAATAATAGTGTCCATAGCAAGAGAGATGCAGAACTCATGAAGTATAGCATATAGCACTGCAAAGGGATTCTCACAAGCTGCCATTCTTCTTTCTATATCATCACCAAGAGCAAATCTCCTACTTTGATCCAGTTTAATAGGACCCTTCTTCTCACCAACCAGTAACTCCATATGCAATATCCTCCATAAGTCTACATTACCACGGTAACCTAATGTAAGAAGAACTTTAAATTCCCCATCCACACGGAAAACAGCTATCCCATCAGTTACTGAAACATTAGATACTTCTTTAGGTCTTGGTGTCACAAGTACTTTGTATCGCACGCTAGCGTCTAATTTCCACAGAGCGCGCTTTTCTTCATCTGGGGAAAGTTTATTTTGACTTCCTATCTCTTCTATGCATCTTGGCAGCCTCTGATAACCACCTGTAAGCATGACTTCAATAGCAGAAGGAACATCGAACATAGGAGCCCGAGCCTGCTGCAAGCACTCGTGCATATAAAACAGCGAGTCAGCTGTTTGGGTGAAGCATGTCTCATGACTGTGGAGAGTTGATCCGAGCTGTTGACAATAATGGACCAAAGGAACCTGTGTAAATTCAAATTAGATATGTTAATGACAAAATACACTGAAATTAATATCCTCAAAAAGCTACACTAACAAGGAAAATTTCCGTAAAACTTAGCTTATTATGATATCAAAGGTACAAAGGTTAACATATTAACAGAGGATGTAAAACTATTAACAGAGGCTGTAAAACAAACTTTATTGCATCCCATACTTTATGAAAAATAAAAGGGCAAAGCGTGAATGACTGTAAAGCTGTCGAGAAATTCCCTTCCCCAGACACCACCTTGTGTTGAGCTTTCAGCACTTGGTACACAGCTGACATGACAACAAAATTAAGGTACGGTGGGGCATATTTAAAGAAATCCATTGGCTCAGTGGAATGATGCAAAATGCTATTAGGAAGTATATATGTGTATTAGGAAGCTTGTTCATTCCTTCCATGTACACTGATTGTATTCCACATATATCAAGCCTGATTGGCTATATAATAGAAGTCACCCCCCCTCATTAGGGGTGAGGTGTTTCCCATATCCTTTCTACATGGTATCAGCTAATTAGATCCTGAACCTTCTCCTTTCTCCCTGTGCCCTCCTCCCCTGCGCCTTCCCCTCCTCTGCTGGACTGCTGTGCCATGGCCACCATCCCTCCTGCCTCCGGCGCCCCCACAGGCAATGGTGGCACCTCTGTGCCACCCACTGCTACCGATGGCGCAGGCAATTCTGTGCCACCCACTGCTACCGGTGCTTTCTCTGGTGTTCCTGCTGGCGCCACATCCGGCAGCGACGCCTTCATTTCCCCTACCGTCCAACCATATGCCACCGTCAACGTCAAGTCCCATATTCCAGTGACGCTGACGATGAAGTCCACTGCCTACTCCAGATGGGCGTCCTACTTCAAGTCTTTGTGCGGCAAGTTCGGCCTCCGGTCGCACATCGATGGCACCATGCCACCTTGCCCCCAGGATCCTGCTTGGGATCAGGCGGACTGCTGCGTCCGCTCATGGTTCTTCAGCTCCGTCGACGACTCCGTCCTCGACCTCGCCATGACCGACAACAACCAGACCGCCCGGGACCTCTGGCTCGCCATTGAGGGCCTCTTTCGCGCCAACCGGCAGTCCCGGGCGATCTTCCTCAGCCATGACTTCCACTCCATGACGCAAGGCGACTCCACCATCGCCGAGTACTGCGGCCGCATGAAGACTCTCTCCGACGGCCTCCGCGACGTTGGTCATCCCGTTCAGGAATCGTAGCTGGTCCTGAACCTTCTCCGCGGCCTCAACCCCCGCTTCACCACCACAGCCGACGACATCGCCAACTCCGCCACCGGCTTCCCCTCCTTCAACCAGGCGCGGGACATGCTTGCTTTGAAGGAACTTCGCCTCGCTAACGAGGAGAAGGTCTCCAACACCACCGCCCTACTTGCCGGGAATGCTTCCTCCTCCGGCTGTCCAGGCGGGTGTCGCCCACCTGCTGGAGCTGTCCAGCCTAGCGGCAGCAACACCACTGGCGGCAGCCGCAGCGGCAGCGACGGCCGCACCAGCAGCGGCGGTGGCAACAAGAGGCGGTGGCAGCAAAAGAAGGGCGGCGGCGGCTTCCAGTCCCCATCTGCTCAACGCCCCACCGGCCCGTGGTTCTGCTTCAGTCCTGGCGCAAACTCCTACAGCGCTCCAGGCTTCCAGCAGGCCGGCAGTCAAGGCAGCGGGGGCTGGCGCACTAGCGCCCCTAGCCTTCTGGGCCAACACCCGCAGGCTCACGCTGCCTACGTTCCCGCTCCGGCACCCCCTCAGGCGCCCACCTGGGATCAAGCGGGACTTGTCGCTGCCTTGAACCAAATGGCGCTGCACAATGGTGGTTGGGTCGTTGACTCCGGAGCCTCCGGCCACATGTCGTCTACGGATGGTATTCTTCTTTCCCGCCTTCCTCCATCTCACTCCTCCATTACCGTCGGTAATGGACACACTCTTCCAGTCACGTGCCGTGGCAACTCTACCCTCAGCACCCCTGTTAGTCGTTGAACTCTCACTCTTGGTAGTAGCAGAATTCTTATTCTCATCGAGAGAGGATGACACTAGGAGTTGGGGCAATTTTTTGGTTTATTTCTCACACAAACTCACACAAATGCCATGCCAACCTAAGGGGTTGGGGATACATATTTATAGGCTGCTAGCCAGCCAAGCATATGCCAAGATGCTAGTCTAAGATGCTGTCCTAGATACTAGTCCTAGATGTTGTCCTAGATGCTAGTCCTAGATGCTAAGATGCTAGTCAAGGGTGTTGTGCTATCCTTGGGCAGCAAGACCACAAGGACCAGTCAAGGATGCTGTCCTTCACCATGCAGCCACAAGGAGCACAGCTGCAGCCCCCAGCCCCACAAAAAAAACCACAGACTTATCCATCATTCTCCCCCTAAGTCTTGTGCGTCGTCTTATGGGAAAGTTGAACCATCCCGGTCCTGGAGCAGAGCTCAAGGAACTTGATCCTCCCAAGAGGCTTGGTAAGCAGGTCCGCAAGCTGGTCGTTGGTGTTGATGTAGCTCGCCTTGATGCTCCCTTCCTCCAAACAGCCTCGGATGAAGTGGTACCTCACCCGAATGTGCTTACTCCGTTCATGGAAAACGGGGTTCTTTGCCAGGGCAGGCGGACTTGTTTGTCCACCCCGAGCTCCACCGCTCTAGTGTCTCTCGCCGAGGAGATCACCAAGGCGATCAGGCAGCCAGGCGCTGAGTCGAAGCGGTGGAGGCCGCTATGTACTCGGCCTCGCAATGGGCAGGCCACCACTGGCCGCTTGACCGATTGCCGACTAACAAGGCACTTGCCGAGGAAGAAGAGGATCCCTTTCGTGCTCTTCTTTGGTGTCGATGTCGCCGGGCGTGGTCATTGTCGTCATTGTGATCCGACGAAGTGTGCCGCCTAAGGGCACCTCGGGTAGTAGAGGCCGTGGTCGAGAGTCCCCATAACGTAGCGGATGATCCTCTTCACATGACCGCTTTGGTGCTCCGTCGTCGTCGGTCATTGCATGAACCGACTAACGAGCCGACGGAGAATGCCAAGTCCATTGTGTGTGGGCGAGGTAGCGAAGGCTCCCCACAAGACGCCAGATCTTGTGTAGCGCCCACCTCCTGCTGTCGTCTTTGTCGCGGCTCGACTTGACCTCTCCTCCATCGGAGTGAGAGGCTGGGTTGCGATCGGTGAGCCCAAATTTAGCTCAACGACGCTTGGCGTGGCGAGGGCGGTCCGTCAAGCGTGATCCCGAAGTCATCTGGTGCACCTCGATTGTAGAAAAAGAGAGGCCCTGTGTCACTCATCCGGAAGATGGCCTTCATCTCTTCCTTGAATGCCGCCACCTCCGCATCCTTGGTGCCGGTGATCACCAAGTCGTCGACGTGAGACACCCACCGCCAGAGCATTTCTCCTCCGCCCCCCCACCGGTAGATGGTCGCCTCGTCGCGGGCTTTGCTCAAGCCCATCCCTTTAGCGTGGAATCCAACTTGGCATTCGACGCCCTCGGTTCTGCCGCCGAAGCCATAGAGGCCTTGCGCGAAGTGAGCACCTGCCCTCCTTGTTGGGGATCGCAAATCCCGGTGGTGGTGCATCGAGACCTCCTTCAAGTCGCCGTTAAGGAACGCCGACTTGACGTCCATGTGATGAACACGCCAGCCCCTCCGGGCGGCTAAGCGCAGGAGAAGTCGTCGCAGACTCCATCCGTGCCACGGAGGAGCAAGGCGCCGTCGAAGTCAACCCCTCCTGCCGCACAAAACCTCGTGCCACCAAGCGAGCCTTGCGCTTGACGATGGCACCGGCTCCATCCTCTTCACTTGTACACCCACTTAAGGGTGATCGCGCGTGTGACCACGAGGAAGGTCAAGAAGCTCCAGTGTGCGGTTGTTCTCAACCGCATCCATCTCCAATCGCATCGCGCGCGCGCCATGCCATGCAGTGTCTCTCGGCCTCCGCAAACGACCGAGGCTCACCGCCGCCACACGCAAGGTGCAACGGGCCTGTGTCATGAGGCACCGGTCCCGGCACCACCGGTCGCCGAGAAGGTTCTCCAACAGACGGTATCAAGAACGGCTCACCGTCCGTGGTGCGCGGCCGACGCGCGCTCCTCGTCGTGAGAGAGCGAGTAGCGAGCTCAATCGCCGCCGTGCTCGACATTTAGTGGTGGTGGGGTAGACGCGTGCGGAGTGGTGCTGTCGGTCCGGAGTGCGCGTGGCGTTTACCGTGGTGGAGCGGCCGAAGAACTCATCGCGCCGAGGTCCCGGTGGGAGAGTGTGGTGCCGCCGAAGTAACAGCGCCGGGGTCGGTGGAGGCTCGGGGACTAGGGTAGACGCTTTCGCGAAGAAGAGCCGCCTACTCCCCAGCTCCTCGAAGTGGGACGTACTCGACGGTGAAGTCGTCAGACGTCGGAGCCGAGCCGCCGCCCACCGCCTTGTCCCACGCCCATCCTCGCTTTTTCGTCGAACACAACGTCGTCGCAGCCGTCGCGCACACGCCGTGTCTTGGTCGAGGATGCGGTAGGCCTCGAGCCCTCCGCGTAGCCGGTGAACACTCCGAGTGCTCTCGCTCGCCGAGCTTGCTGATGTGACCAAGCTCCTTGGCGAACGCGAGGCAGCCGAAGACCCGCAAGTGGAAGACCACCGGCTTGCGTCCATGCCAAGCCTCGTACGGCGTCCTGCCGTCGAGGGCCTTGGTAGGCGAGCGGTTGAGGATGTAGACGGCCGTCACCACCGCCTCTCCCTAGAAGACAGCCGGCATCCCCCTCTGCTAGAGGGCCCGAGCCATCCCCACAACCGTCTGGTTGCGCCGCTCGACGACGCCGTTTCGCTGCTGCGGCAGACATGCGGTAGCGGAGTAGTGGCGCTGAATGCCCTCGTCATCGCAGTACGACGCAAATTCAGCCGCCGTGAATTCGCCGCCATTGTCGGTGCGCATCACGCGCAGCTTGCGGCCACACTCCGCCTCCGCAGCAGCCTGTGCGCGCCTGATGGCGTCCGCAGCCTCTCCCTTGCTGCCGAAGACC